GGGGGAAAAGATGTATGTAACACTACTTATGACAGAAAACTGTCAAATTTTATATTTAAATTTATTCATTGTATCTTGCCAAATGGATATAATCTGTACAGATGGAAAATACGAAACACACCATTCTGTGATAAGTGTTTCGTCGTTGAAGACAATCTCCATATATTCTATAATTGTATTGATGTACGGAATTTTTGGGGCAAAATCAGATGTTTTATCTTTATCTGCTTTAGCACTGATGTTAAACATGAGAACACTTATTACCGGAACAAACATATTAATTATCGACCAAATTCTAACTATTGCCATGCACTCCCTCTTTAAGAGATGGTGCTTATTTATGTCCCAGCTCAAAACAACCATTAATAATGAACTACATCTAAATTATGAAAAGGCAAGTAAGAAATGGACAGCATCATTAATTGATACGGTTGAACCCGTATAAAGTGTTCTTCTGCAGTGTATAAAAATATTATTTAAGTATTGTATTAAACTGATATGACGATAATGAAAAAAAAAGAAAAATGTAAAAAAAAAAAAAAAATTTCCTTGTATATTTATACAAGTCAATGGCAAGCGCAAATAAAGTAATACAATGTTATTCCATCGGCCAATAGTTACCTCTTTATTCAATTGTTTGTCGTTTATCGATCATTTAATTTATATCTGTTGGTGAAGGAGAACTGTTTTTTGCTGGAGTTGGTGTTAGAGTAGCTAGCAGGGGTGACGAGTGACAGACGTTATTGGGATAATACCGCGCTTTGTACTATCGTGAACGTCGTACTTGTGTTGAATGCGTGACGTCACTTGCGTCGATGTTCGATTCGCCATCGCAATGATGATGTCATGCGCACAATGGTGCGCAGGATAACACATAATTTATCGACACGTGTTTAACCCAATCAAATCGACCTTTATTACAAAAGAAATTTGTATACTCGAAGCACATTCATTAAAAACTCAAATTACAAGAACGAAAAAAAAAAAAAAATAGTAGCATGGAAAACTCCCAAATATACAAAGCTCAGAACATTAGTCGTATTCAGCCAAGTAAATAGTGCTTTGGTTTTGTTACATTATAATACCTAGATCAAATAGCGACAAGTTGTGATGGTATACTGATAGAACGAAACTGGTGAAGTAAAATTTATCACGTCTCGCCTACATATAACTATTTACAAAAATCCAGTCTTAATGTTGATTGCTGAAAACCACACACCCTGAAAAATAGTTATTTCTACCTCTATCCCAGGAAATTACACACATATGGTAATTACTGTCTTAATCCACTGGGCAATCAACACAAATACGTGTATACATATCGTTTTCAATAATGAGGAACGATTGTGATGAACAAACTATCGGATTCACGGAGAATTTCAGAATCGACCATGCTGTTAATCTGACTGCAAACGTCACCATAGAGGGCGGGCCTCCAAGAATATTCTGAATGGCTTCTCAGCTGGTATATACCACATCAGTGGCGGTGGCGGCACCGGGGGGGGGGGCAGGTTGGCGGTTGCCCCTCTGAAAAAAAATTTGCCGTCGCCTCTGTATATTGTCAGTGTCAGATTATAAATAACCGGTGATTTGCAGTGCAACATTTCATGAACTTTGTGCAATTTGGCAGCTTAATTAGTTGGATGATTTTATACATAGTGAACCATAGCCACTTGTCTGTCCCACTGACATTTTCTGTTTACGTCAATAAAAAGTTTATTTGAATAATTCTCTTTATTTTATGGTGAATACAAACTATTCAAATTAGCTACAATTTCCTGACACAGTTTTCAATCAACATTTTTAATTGGATACCAAAACACCTGCAGGGTGTAAGTATTGTGACCTCTCTGTTGAAGTCTGGTCCAC